GGGGGGGACAATTGTAATTGTCACAGCAATTACAATTGAACTTTTTAAAGAGTTACACTAAATATAATATATAGAAAAGTAACAAAACATTTGACCTGCACGTTTTGATTTAGTCACGAATTACAAGTTTAAAGGCATTTAATTAAATCCATTGATTTTTAAGATTTAACACAGACAACTCTAGATTATTTGCTGTAATACATTTTATGCAATGATATATTCAAACAATTTCTCATGAAAAACTCTTGCATGTTTTTAGGTGTTTTCTTATGGTCACAAACATATTTACTTACAATATGGTTTTAGTTGAAAAACATTATGGTAAACTTGACTCATGAGCTCTCATTCCACTAGGTCCAAATGCACTCATGAACTCAAAAATCCTATGCAGATTTAGAAAGCATCAAGTACACAAAAAAATGTGAATTGAGAGTGCAAGATAAGATTTTCAAATACAAGCAGCCCACATTTGTTACACACATTGACCCCTCCAAACTACCTGCCATGCATATTTGGCATAATTGTGCTAAAATGAATAAAACTTGCACACAAGTATTTGGTTGAAAAATGGAGTTGGTCTTTATTGACAGATTTTACAGAGACTAATTTAGTCTTCTTGCTGTTCCACCACTGTGTCCTTCTCGCTGACATAGATACCATCCAGGAACTTCCGGAAGTCCTTCTTTCTCACAGTGGTGGCCTGCTGGATCAGAGCAGCTGATGGAGAGAAGAAAAAAAAAAAGTGTTAAGACAAACCAGTTTAAATGATGACTCAAGGTGGTGCACCCAAGAACTCCCATGTGCTATACGAACTGTACAGAAATCAGACACGTAACATGCAAACCAAGCCAGTGGTTATATCTGTGAACTCAAATGCCTTGTTAAGAGTTATCATGCTTAGATGACCGTGAATGTGCAATAAAGTCCTACAAAAGACAGTGTTGTAAAGCTGTTTGGCATGTAGGATATGGTCAATTCAATCTAAATATTGTATCATTTGAAATTTGGCACATTGGCAAAGAAAACTCAGTAGATTTAACAGTGAACATGAAAAATCACAACACAGAAGAGACGGGTTCAATGACAAAAGCAGGAAAACTGGCACAGAAAAGAGCCGAGAGAAAGGCGAGGGGCGGCAGCAGCGGCGGTCTGGTTCTAACCTCACGTGTTCTCTACGACTCCGGCTCCACTACAGTGCCCTTCTCCGAGACGTAAATACCATCCAGGAACTTTCTGATATCCTTATTTTTC